GATAACCAAACCACCTAAGACCATGGTTCATAATGCTGGTAAACCACTTGAACTTGATCAAGACTTCGGTACAAATCCACATGGTGAATAAACAGGAATGGCATTGGCATCTGTACATTGATGTTTTTTCTTCTTGAGTTCGAGCTGGCCTCTCACAATAGTTGAGTTGTTGAGGTGGCTTCTCCTTATTTCTCTAAATTTATTTTTCTTAACTTTGGGTTTTCTTCTATTTTACTATTGATAATCTTCATAGTTTTTTTGTTTTTTCACTTCTCCTATAATTTTTATGAATGTTTATATCGTTATTTAGATTGCATTATAGTTTTTATGCATTATGTCATGAAGATTTGAAGAAGTCTTCAAGTTCAATATTTGATTTTTTTGTTGCAATATAAGGTAATAATTTTATATTGATTTGTTTCATGATTTTGATTGCATTATAACTTTATTTATGTTTGTATCGTGATTTTGTTTGTATTATAACTCTTATGTATTAGGTGAAGATTTGAAGTTTTTAAGTTTACAATATAATTTTTACTTATGTTGAACTTTTTTTGATTTGCAGGTTTTCGAGTTCTTTAATTATTATATATTAAGTCTTGAAAATTTGAAGTTTTCAAGTTTGGGTTGTAGGAATTCATGATTATGATCTAAGGTAAGGATTTTATGCAAGTTTGTTTTGTAATTTAGAGTGCATTAGAATGTTATGTATGTTTGTATCATGATTTTGATTGGATTATATTTTTAAATATGTTTTTTATCGTAAGTTTAGCCGTATGATAATTTTATGTATGTTCATGTTGTGATTTTGATTGCATTATAATTTTATGTATTGGGTTATAACGATTTGAAGTCTTTAAGTTTGGTATGTGATTTTTTACATATCGTATGTTTGATCCATTCACTATTGTGTTTTTAAAGTCAATGTGTGTGTTGAGGATAAAAATGGTACATGTACATCATCCTTTTTGGTGCTTATACATCGTAATCATCATTACACAAAACTAAGTTTTTTGTCGTCAAAACTAAGACAATAATAATTTTTTTGTCTATGATGAATCCAATTTAAATTTCAGTTATTCGGTTTTTGTCCAACCATGATTAGCTATTGTTTACAACAATCAGTAAGCTTATAATATAAAGAATGTTACTGCTTATATACCTTGCATTGTATGATTCCTCAAGATTAGAGGATATTATATTTCATTCAACAATCAATAAAATATTTTTATTTTATAATCTATTATTTAACTGTATTATAAATTTAGTTACATCATTTCTTATATTGTGATTACACATCTAATTATTCAGATGACTATATGTACCTGAATTTATTTAAAAATATCTGAAAAGTAAGTGTTACAAGCTAAACTGAAAAGATTACTTTTGCATACACTTATGATAGTGCTCAATATTAATCATATAAAACCTGCGGGCTGCGGCTAACAATTTTTATACAAATTGAACTTTAATAGAATTATTGTTCTGCAACCAAAAAATATAAAATGTATGAATTTCTTTAGTTACAAGAAACAATATCAATGAAAAAAAAATTGCATAAAAAACACCCCAATGTAATAACCGTCTTATATTACAATTTATTATGAAATTACGTTTTACCTTAATTTGATTATGTATTTTCTAACAAAACAAGTTTCATCACTATGCAACAYGCGGTGTGTGAAGTAAGAACCAAATCTATCAACATATATCAAAATACGACATTAAAATTTCTCAATATATCAACATATAATTAAAAATATATTAAATTAAGAATCAAGAGGTGGTTCAATGAGAAGTTTCAATCATATTTATCTTTTTTTTTTCTTTATAAATGAAATTAAAATGTACATACATTTATTTTTATGTACATGACAATTGAAAAAATAAATCATCAAAAATCAATTAATATATATTAAAATTTATCAATATATCAATATATATTTAAAATATATTAAGATAAGACCAAGAGGAAGTTCAATAAAAAAAATTCAATCATATTTATCTTATTAAATGAAATTAGAATCCACAAATATATAAAATACATATATTTTTTTTATTAATACATACATAGAGGAAGGTTCGAATGTGAACGCTAACTATTTAAGAAAACAAGAAAAATGTTGTTAATGTACAAACCCACATGTGATTTTACATTAAATGGAAGCTTGCAACTTTTGAGGCCACTTAAGTCGCAGGGTAAAGTTGTCTGGATCATATATATGATTTGTTACGTGAATCATATGTGATTTTGTACATTTTTAATAATGCAATTATTTGATAAAATTAATTGAAGAAGTTTAAAGGTATTCACTAATTTCTTAAGGTGCAACATGTGTTGACTCTCTCCATCTTGCAAATAAAAGAAAGTAATGATTGTTGACATTAATTGCAACCGTCGATGTTAATAATTATGGACATACAAGACGTTTACGCTTCTCTTTTCACTAAGTAATCGTTTTGCTTTTTGAGGTTAGTTATGTATAATATAAATATCTTTTGGGCTTTCTTTAATTTGTTTGCTTTATATGTGTTAAAACAATATATTATAGGTTGATTTTTTTTATGATATTCTTGATAGTTCTTTTTCTTATGCCTGAACTTTTTGTAAGTTATCTTTTCGTTGCGCAAATGTTCATTGCTCAATTTATTGTCAATCCAAACAGTCCTACAAATTCCTTTTTACAACAAAGCAAGAAAACGAAAAGTTGAAGTTAGTTTCCTGCAATGCCTTAGGATTGACTCATCATATATTTTAAGTTTTTTAATATGGTTTTTTTTTGCTTCTTTCAATTGATTTTCTTACATCAATGTAAGTTGAAATATTTGAAGGAGACGTATCTTTATGTAAAGTATTTTTTTATTCATGAGTTTGTGTCAGATTCCTTAATATTCCCGTCGTTATTATACTCATTTTATTTAGTTTTACAACTTTATTCTTAAACAAATCTCTCTCTCAACATATATATGTGTGTGTATATATATATATATATATATATTAAAATGTCACCAATTATATTTTATTTAACTTTTTAGAATTATCTGAATACTATTTGTTGATAAATCTATTAACAACTAATATATATTTATATAGACAATCTTCAGATCATTAATCAAAGTACTCATATTACCATACAACACACAGTTTCCATACTAGTTTTATTAAAAACAAAGGGAGTATTTTACCCTCATAGTTTGGTACCTACATGGATGCATAGTTTTTCTCAAAAAAATTTACCAAAATTTCAAGATTTTGATGATAAGAATAAGTATAATAATAATAATATTATTATTTTTATACTATATTATAAATCATTTGAGAAAAATTCTTAAAAATTAATTTTTTATGTATGAAGTACTGTTATTGATGCATATTACTTAAAATTCAAGATTACAAATTTTTTTGCGTAAGTATATTAAAGCTCCATTTTTAAATTTGTGTAACTAACTGCAGATAAACATAATCAGATACAACATAAATATTCATTTTAAATATAGAAAATCTAAAATATAATTAAGATAATCATTGAGTTATCAAAGAATGTTTAATTATCATCTTTATAAAAAAAATTATATTATTAAACCAAAAATAAATTATTTTGTTATTAAATCTAAATTAAATAATAATAAAAAATTGAATTAAAGAAGTTACACCAAAAAAATGAAAACTATTAAACAGTTAATTTGATACTAATATCGATTTTCTTTTTTCAAATTTTTATGTGATCTTCAAATTTATATTGCATTCAAAAATTAAAACATTAACGCTTTCTCAAAATCACATAAAATCAAATTATATCGATAGAGACAAAGAATAAAAACTAAACATTAAAATCAAGATTTATCTCGTTGCATTGCACGAGTATTCTTCTAGTTATATTATAAAATATTTATCTCATATTTTTTAAAGAATTCAAGTTACAACATATTACTTCATATACAATTTTTTAAAGCTTCACATTTAAATTTCATAAACTAATTAATAATAAGGTGATAACCACATTCAAATGCATATAAATGTTAAATCTTATTAATACTTCGTAAAATTAATAACCAACCAAAAACCTCAAACACTCTTAGAACCGTAAAATAAAATCAAGAAGACATAAAAGTGAAATGAAACATGAATCAAGATTAAAAAAAATCAAATTTTAAGTTTTAAGAATCTAAATCTATCATACTAAGGGGCCGTTTATCAAATACTTACCCGGTAAGCGTTTATCGGTAAAATTTAATATTATCACTTACTTATCGGGTAAGACTTTAGTCCACCAATATGGCATCGTATGCAACAATTTACCCGGTAAGCGCTTACCATGATAAGAGTCGCCGTTCTCACTTACTAGATAACACACTCGGTTCTTGTCTCCCTCTTACCGAGTAAGATTTTTGGTCCTTACAATATTCATCCGACAAAGTAATATGACTTGACAAACGCTTACCCGGATAAGCGTTTGGTAAACGGCCCCTAACTCAAAATGTATCACACTTGGCTAAATTACATTATCCAAAATAAATGCACATTTATTCAATTATCATTTTAAAGAACATAATTTTCAAAAATATACAATTTTTTTTTTATTTTCCATTTAAAGGATATATAATTTTTTTTAAATTTATTATTTTAAGAATCTATTAAAAAGATGTATATTTCAGGATTTGTTTTTAATATCAATACTATATTATAAAACATTTAACAAAAACTCTTAACAACCATTTTTTTATGCACAAAGTGCTCTTTATTAATACATATTACTTAAAATTCAAGATTACAAGTAAGTTGTGCATAAATACATATTATTAAAGCTCTATGTTTGAATTCGTGTAACTAACTGTAGATAAACATAATCAAATGCATGATAAACATTTCATTTTAAATATAAAAAATATTAAATATAATTAAGATAATCATTTAGTTCTAACAGAATACTTAATGATTATCTTTATAAAAAATTATATTATTAAAACTAAATTAAATTACTTCGTTGCGTTAAATTTTGGAACGGTGTGAGTAGTATAACATTGGATCAAAGTTTTGTAGGTGAAAACAAGCACCTAAATGGTTAAATTCCATCAAATTCATCCAAACAAAATACACACAACTCATTCTTGATTTCATAACAAAAATGAGAATGAGAATGATGAAGATGAAGATGAAGATGAAGATGAAGATGAAGATGAAGATGAAGATGAAGATGAAGATATGGATCTTGATGGAATGTTACTTGAGCTTCTTGAATAGCTTAGGTGCGACCTGCAGCCATGTGAGCATCGATATCAGATGAGCACAAAATCCTTACGTGTAGATTGATTGATTGATCGATTGATTCAGGAGAATGAAAAAGCTTACACATTTGTCAACACAACGCCAATAATCAAAATATTGCCCCGTGCAATGCTTGTGTCCGCTTTCATCCGCCTCCACCCTTTTCACACATCCCTGTCCACCGTACCAACAAAAACAAACTCAACTCTCTAATAACAACTACTCCCTCCCACCCTCCCTCCCAAAAATAAGTGTCAAATTTCAAAAGTAAATGCTCAGATACTTGAACCAATCGTCAAAAGTCATGGCATTGACCTTTTTGACACCATATATTCCGAAGCCAATAATCATGTTCAACAAATAGTGTGAATAAGATGATTGTTTCAGTGGCTAACTTCAATTGTTGAACAATCAACCACAAAGAAAGTGCAATTTTTACCAATGGGCATTTGACCTAGAGGTATGTGGGTTACCCGCAGAGCTCAGCCTCTCAAGAGGTCAAGGATTCAAATCTCACCAGAGGTGGAGGGTTCGTGAGTTCATTTGCCATATATAAATATTATATACTTCAAATAAAGAGCAAGCAATATTCCCATGCAAAAAAAATAGAACGAAACGACATGTACAAGTGTTTACAGACATCACAACTAGAAAAACATAATATCCAGTTCAAAGCCATATAAGATAGAACCTGATACTCGAGCCAAGCTCTAACACACTTGGGCTTGCATAAATCTTCAAAGTACTTCTTCTGGTCAACTGGTTCTTCCTCCGCCCTTCAGTTGTATGTATACAAGAATCAAATTACACAAAGTTACAAAACAGTGAAACGTGGATTGGCTTGTTTAACAAAAATAAGCATCATAAGAGGTCCTAAATAGTTGTGATTTCGGATATATTAGCCTATTAGATGATCATAGACTGATTGATTCACAGTATCCACTCAGCTAGTCAGATTAACTGGAAAACGATCTAATGGCAGTGGAAAGGCATGTCAATACCCAAATGGATCCCTTCGATAGCAAAGACTTCTCTCCATCACGTGCAACAACTTATCAATCTATCAACAGAAGTAAGTTCTATATGATATATTTAGATGTTCTGAAGATGCTACAAAAAGGTCAATTAGCTTATGGTAAACATCCAATGTATACCCCTTCTTCAATAAGAAACACTTGTCCACAAATGTATTTTTGCAAAGCTGCATTTGACTTAAGGTCAAAACTTTATGTCTATTCAGCTAACTCAGCCCCAAAAGGGGAAAGCTAGACAAATTTGCTATACAGAAAAAACACCTAATTTATTCTTTATGCTTCCACAATTCACTACTGCTTGGAAGATACATATGAGAAAGGTCTAGCCTTTTGATAATAAGCTCAATTCCTCCAACCGAGGATTAGATCAAGCAATCTTCTAGGTTCTGCTAGATGAGTACTAAACTACTACAAACCACAAGGGTGGTGCCGGATTGGTTTGAGCTTGGCTCCAAAGATCAAAAGTACCAGGAGGTCCCAGGTTCAAATCCAAGGAGAAATAAAATCCCCTTGTGGCCACGGAGGTTCAAATGCGGTGACTCCAGGCTATCTGCAAAGCAGGTGGTCGGTCGCCCTGGGATTAGTCGGCTCGCATAGCGGGTTGGATATCCAGGTTAATCAAAAAACAAACTACTACAAGCATCATGAAGGACGAAGGTTCTATAGAGTACATGAGGGCATAGAACATAACGAAAAGCTCTATACCATCCTAGAATATTATTGCATCTTCAAGGAACGATCATTTTCATGTGCCAAGCGAGTGTTTGTGAAGCAACTACATGTTGCATCTCTACTCAAAGATTCACTGGTTATGACCATGGGCACATAGCCACAATCAGCATCTCTAAAATTTTATAAAAAATTACAATGGCCAAAAGATAACTTCAGATTATGCTTCTTCTATTACAATATTCCACCCTCAATCATTATTCATACATCTATATCATCACATTATCAGGCAAACATTTTGGATCAGGGATTTGTGTTTCTAAATCAAATCACATCGTAAATTTACAAACAATTGCGGGTACTTCTAACCGCAAAATTATAGCATCACAGATACATGAACAGTTAGAAATCACGATAGATTAAATCGGTGATTACTCACATAAGCAATTAAGGAGTACAACAAAGCGAACCCTTTCAATCTGCGCAGGCACCAATTTCAAAATACTAATACTTGTGTGAAAACCCTAATCAACAGATCGAAGGAATGAATTGATGGATAAAGTTATGCATTCAAAAATGGAAAATTGAGTCCAACAAGATGAAGGAAGACTGTACCGTCCAAGGGTTTGAAGCCGCAGTCGAACGAAAGAGGAGAGTGGCGATCCGTACTTCTAAATCCTTAAATTGCAATATTTTAAAAAATATTCTATTAATTAATGACTTTTTAAAAACAATCAAATATATTCAATTTGTTTTTCCACGATTCATCCTAAACAAATTATATTTTGATGCATTTAGGGGCTGTTTATCCGAATGCTTACCAATAAGTGCTTACTGATATGACTAAACACTATAAATTATTTTGATGTGTGAGATTTTAGTACATCAAAACGCATCGAATACAACAATTTACCAGGTAAGTGTTTACTTGGGTAAGAGTCGTCATCTTCATTTACTGGATAAGACTTTCCATCTTTCTCATTGCTCTTATTCAATAAGATTTTTAGTCCTTGTCATATTCATACGGTGAGAAAATTTATCTGGTAAACACTTACCAAGTAAGCGTTTAGTAAACGACCCCTTAATTTCAATATTCAATTTTTTTTTGTTAACTATGGATATTTGGCATTTTTCAGTAATGATAGTGATCTTGGAAAACAATTAGGAAAAATCTCAATAATATTGAAAGACTAAAACCGGTGACCTATGAAGAACCCTAACGACACATAATTTATTATCAGTTAAGGGGGTGTTTGGGATTGCTTATTAAAACAACTTATTGACTTATTCCGGTGTGGCACCGGTAATAAGCACTTTTGAGTGTTTGGATAAATGGCTTATACCGGTGTGGCACCGGTAATAAGGAGTTTTTAAAGAAGTTAAACTCTTCTGACTTATGATAAGCTGATAAGTGCTTTTGTAAGAAAGCATGAGTTATTTCAAATAAACAATCCCAAACACCCCCTAAGTAACCGATCAAAATAGGTTTGAAATAAAAAAATATACGAAAGTTCATAATATTAATTATATGAAAAAAAATATTATTACGCTAAATAGATTTTAAGAAGAATTTCATTATATACAACTGTTTTTATCCTTTTATTAAAATATTAGCTTCATTAATTTTAAAATTAACAATATCAACCATAAGAGTGGTGCCTGATTGGTTTGAGCTTGGGCTCCAAAGTTCAAAAGTGTCTGAAAGTCTCAAGTTCAAATCCAAGAAGAAATAAAAATCCTCTTGAGGCCACGGAAGTTCAAATGCGGTGACTCTGGGCTACCCCACAAAGCAGATGGTCGTCCTGGATTAGTCGAATCGCATAACGGGTTGGATATCCAGGTTAATAGAAAAAAAAATTAACGGTATCTTAAAACAATAAAAATTACAACATTTAACTTGTTGCAATGACAAACAAGTATACAAACTGTCACAAGCTGAAGCAGAAGTGTGGGATCCAAGCTGTCACATCGACAAATAAAACCAAACAGACACATGTGCTATTTGACAGTTGTTGAATGATTTGATGTTGAATGATTAAGTGGTCAGAATGATCAAAAGACTCTCATGATATAGTGCAAAATGAAATATAACTGTTTGGTAATTGTTTATAATGAAATTAGGGCACTGAGAGGCCCAAGATACAAAATCATTGAGAAGGTTTTAGAACCATTAAGAGGCATAATTTTTTTTTGTCAAACAAGATTCACCTCTTAACAATTTGGAGGCTGCCTTCTAATAGAACTATTAAAAGGTAAACAAACAATCCCTCAGTAAAATCCCAAACAGAAATAGAATGGATTTATATAGACAAATGAGCAAGTCAATTTTGGAAAATTTCAAGTACCCTATGGAGATGCTACTTATTCAATTTCAACTCTAGGACAATATTTAGAAGTCCACACAAATGAATTTACTTTTAGCAAACCGCAAACCGCAAGATGTGATCTTGAAAAAACGCTCTTTTCACTTGAGTTTCTCGAACAGCTTGGGTGCAACCTGCAACCAAAACATGTTTCGCCAACAATTGTTTTTGAACAAAAGAGGGGAACGGTAGGGCAGATTAGAATTGGCTTACAGCTTTGTCAATACAATGCCAATAATCGAAGTATTGCCCAGTACAATGCTTTTCCCCGCTGTCATCTCCCTCTACCCTTTTCACGCATGCCTGTAAATCTCACGAGATTTCAATGAGCACAAAACTTGCAGTTTCTACAGGATAAATCCGTACAACATCAGGCAACTCTTTAGAACACGTGTAGGTGCAAACTCAGTAACTCGGTACAAAAGATGCCTGATAAATGCAAAAGTTGATCTATTTCTTACTATGGCTATGCTTTTTTGTACCTACTTCTGTATGTATGTTGTTGTTTACTTCTAACTCAATTTTCTCGTTTTCTTGTTTTTAGTTTCTTGCATTTTCCTCTATTTCTTCGGGGAAACTTTCTAGTCATATCTTTCACATTTTCTCAAGCCTTCACTGAAATAGCACTCAGCTCTATGAGGTTAAAACTCAGGTCTGCGTATATCTCACCCACCCAAACCCCACCTCCGGGTGGGAGATATTGGGCTTGTTTGGTTTGGTTTGGTTATTTTCTTGCTCAAACTAGAGAAACAGTAGTCCAGCTTGAGACCATGCATCTCTCAGGGATGATGATTGTGGGATTCTGATTCGGTTTTTGTTCAGACCTAACAAGAACTTTAGGCAGTTAAATACCACATCCATCACGAGTGTGAATTGTGAACAAGTCCTTGGTTATGGATTGCCAATAACTTTTTACCATGACTTCACTCGACTGGAGGTCACTTGGGACAGCTTGGGGCTTGGGAGATACGATTGCATTTCACATACTCTATATCAGTTCTGTAAAAAGGAGACTTTATAATCTAAATTGACATCGACACATGCCATCAGTACCGTCAAACAGAACCATCTAAGGTGATCAAGAGTTTTAGAGAGCACCCATGGTATATATTGATATAGAATGGCATGTAAACAAAGTGTAATGCATAAAGATGCCAACAATTATCCATTTAACAATCCTAGATGCGAACTTGAATTAAGCATTAAACAATAAGATCCAAATGCATTAATTTGGTACTTGGATGTTAAACATTAAAATACCAGCTTCTGGTGTATGGGACAGCACCTGATACTCAATGAGAGGTCTAACACACTTGGGCTTGCAAGAATCTTCTAAGTACTTCTTTTGGTCAACTGGTTCCACATCACCCCTTTATACACGAACAAAATGACAAATGTTAGTGGATCGATGATTTCATTAGATGAAGGATCAAATACATTGCAACTATGCAAGTAGAAATGACCCTTTCTAAGTTGTTTATGCTATATCCAAAAGCATAAGCGTCCAGACTATTTTTCACAACAAAAGAACAACAGGAAAGCAACAGAACGCCGTTTGCCATGTTTGCCACATTAGCAGCCAAGTCAAATCTGGATATAGTTATTTGCCCGTAAAAAGTAAAAAATATAAATTAAAAAAGGTGAAATTGAAACTAAAAGAAAGGGTTAAGACAAAATGCAACATTTTCTAATAAGATAATCAACTCAAATGACAGTCTACCAACAGATGTAATAAGGGCATGGATGTGATTTAAACGTTTCAACAGAACGTTCATTGTTCAAAGATCGATGGCTAACCATCACACTAGAGTCTAAACAGAAGACGAAAAATGGGCAATAGGTAGGAAGCAGCATCTGTATTTGGGATCTTGGAGAAGATATAGCATGATTTTCTTTTCTTTAAACATATTTCCAAAATCCAATCCATAAAGCCAACGATTAATGAGCTTCTTAACTATCAACAAAATATGAGAAGCCGAAACAATACATGTTTGTGTTCTTAATGGTTCTTTTCAAAGATGTAACTATGTCTTTTTGAGATCAGAATTCTAAAAACTTCATGCTAGTTCACTGAATACTTGTGACAGAAATCACACTCACCGAAAACGATCTGAATGCTAAAACTCTCTGTGAACCCACAAAAGTTCAACAATTTTCATTTTGGGATGTGCCATAAAATTGCATCATTTCCAATTACAATTACCTATTTTCCCATCTTCATCTGATAAAATAAATTTAATGAAATCGATTTGGAGCCAAAAAAGTGATCTATTATGTCCTCAATTTAGTTCCAATATCTGTGAGATGGAGGCAATATGATGAGGTGCATGAACGAAATTCTCTTAACTCCAATCCTTTGGCATTTTCTATACAAAATAAATACATGAACACTTGACAGATATCATCAAGTTTGTGTATATATGATTCGATATACAAGAAACAAACATCCAATGATACTTACATTTTCAAAAGAAATACAATTCACCAACGCTTCAAAATCAAAACAACCTCGTTTGATGAAATAACCTGCAGAAACATCATAGAACACTTAAATTTAGATCAAACAGACTACAAATTGTATTAAAAAAACCGTACCTTCTTCAGAGAACGCAGGACGAACGCTAGAGGAAAGTGTGTTATATCCGTTGGGTGAAGGACCGATTCAGTTGCTCCGATAAACTGGGGAGAAATTCATATACAATTACTCGTTTTTAGGGCTAATTTATTTAGAGAAAATTACAAATTTAGTCCCTGGGGTTATACGAAAATTTGGATTAGGTCCTCCAAGAAAAATAATTACATGTATGGTCACTATGGTTTCATTTTTATTATGGATTAGATCATTTGGCCTAACTCTTTTAATTTAGCTTTGGTTAAATTAAGGGTATTTTTGTCCTTCTACCTTTTATTTTAAAAATAATTCATTTATGATTAAGTCCCTCAAACGCATTGCATTGAATACATCGTTGGCTTAAAACTTTTACTTTTTTGGTCTCCATACTTAGCACAGTTAATTGGGTCCATCAATCATATGGGGGGTAATTTTGACATTTTACCATTTCCCTGTTTTCTAAAGAAATATGAAAAATAAATTAGAAGGATCCGACTGTAGGGAGGATATGACAGTGTACATCTACAAAAGGAGAGAATATATTATCAATCAAAAGAAATTATAACCGTGTTACAAAGATCCTTGGATCAGAATAAGCAATATGCAAAAAAAATCACCAAGAACACATAGCAAAACACATACTATATTTTGAAGCTTCAAAACATCAACAAAGAGGTGAAAGTGTATCTAAAGTATTTTATATGTTTGGAGGAGAAAACCTTCAAAAAGGAGAAGAAATGGCGTCCTTAGCTCCTACTGAAAGAAGCTCGAAAGCTTCCCCAAGAATATCGATCTCGTTGACGAATAAGTAATCAATCACCTTAAGTTCCTATATTGTTTATTGTTACAGGGTCAAAAACACATTTTGATCTTTGATGTCAAAATAGTACTTTTTCAAATGAAAAATTACATGGATTTGTTATATGTTTTCAGTAACTATTATGAATATATGCTGCTGGGAATGTTTTTTTTTTAAAATTATGACCCATGTAACTTGATCATGAAAATTAAAAGGTTACATTCAAAGTGAAGTGATGCTCCTCGTTTGGATAAAGGGAGACAGTATCCAGAAGGAAAAAAAAAGCAATAATAAAGATTCATCTACAATAACTTCCGACCATTTTGTGGTTACCTATGAGATTAGTTAGTGGGTATAAGTTGTCTCGCAAACCTATGCTTGCCAAAAAAGTACATGGAGTGTTACGAGCTCTTTTTAGGTCATAGCTTTTTCCTTCTTTACATTATAACCCCATGTTTTACATACTGAAAAAAAAAGCCCTCCTAGGTGGGATGTTACAAGCACAAAAAGACAGATTTTTTTTTATTAACCTGGATATCTAACCCGCTATGCGAGCTGACTAATCCCAGGACGACCATCTGTTTTGCGGATAGCCTGGAGTCATCGCATTTAAACCTCCGTGGCCACAATGAGACTTTTATTTCTCTTTAGATTTGAACTTGGGATATCAATACATTTTTGACCTTTGGAGTCTAAGCTCAAACCAATCAGACACCATCTTTATGAGGGGCAAATGATTGTTTTGTAGTTACCAATATTGTTTCGAGGGACCAATCTGCAATGTGAAACACAAATAAGAAGCATCAGTGTACTTATTAAAATTTTAGGGACCAAAAACAGAAAACAACCATAGATCAAGGACCATGAATGTAATTGACTCTCGAGCGGTAAAATGGTGGGAAACCATGGATAACTAGGCTACAACACAAGTGAGGACAACGATATCTTCTCTGCCCGATTGACACTCTCGTTTCCCCCCGCGGTGGCCCAGCCCCTGCCCTCCGACCAGTGCCTGCTTCATTCCACAGCTAGCTCGTTCTCCGACGTCCTCACTCCTGCCACTGTAAAGTGCGAACCCTAAGGTATGTGAATGTCTCAATTTTTGTTGCTATTGATTTTTGCAAAATCTCACTGCACCCAGTTAAATCCAAGGTTTGTATTCCATCTTCAACGATTCAACAAATCCATCTCAAGTGATTCTAGTTTCATATCAAAAATCTGTTCTTCTCATAGCAGATACGTGTTTTTTTGGCCCAAATGGAGGACCATGATATTGATGAAGAGGAGTTTGAATTCTCAAGAAACTATTTCTTAGCAAAAGAGTCGGGAAAGTCAGGGAAGAAATCAGCCCGTAAGATTTCTGAAATTGATCTCGTTGACGAACAGGTAATCACCTTAAGTTCTTACATTGTTTAGTATTACGCTTTATATGAAAAAATGCATTTTGATTTTTGATGTCAAACTAGTAGCTTTGAAATGAAAATTACATGGATTTGTTATTTGTTTTCAGTATCTGTTACGAATATATGCAGCTGGGAGTGTTGCCTTAAAAAAATTATGACCCGTGTAATTTGATCATGAAAATTGAAAAGTAACATTCAAAGTGAAATGATGCTCCTCGCTTGGATGTCTGATAACAGACTTTGTACTTTTTCAATTGCAAAACTGATATGGATTATCGTGTTGTTAACACTTGATTTATACTTTTAGTTGTTTCTAGAATCCATACAGATTAAGGAGTAAAAAAGTAATCCTACATCCGAAATTCGAAGAATAGGTCTTTTTATGGAAAGAGGGAGCACATATTAATTTCTCAAAGAAACAAAACTGTGATTTGCAATGCTGCAGGATCTTCGAGCTGAGGTGTCTAACATTGAGCCAAAGCATGAGAAAGAGATTGCTTCATTGATAAATAGTTACAAGAGTCTGTACAATGAGTGGGTTTTTGAGTTGAGGTATGTGCATTTCCATATCAATTGCTTTCTGCTGTGTAGTTCATAACTCCCTCTGTCGTCAAAAAGGGTTCATTTGAAAATTCGGCTTAGTATTTTTAACAATTCGAATCTACACAACACTTTTTATATGTTCTAACTCCAAAATGTTCTCTATTTAATAAATATAACGGTTCAATGTAGTTGTCAATATTTGGCACCAAGCAAAACACTTTGTTTATCAATCTTATTTGAAAGAGCAACTCATGACACTGTTTTCTTTAAAACTGGACTCTTTTTTTGGGGCCAAGGCCATTACATAAGAAAAAGCAATAAATAGGTGTGTCTTGTGTAAGAAAAAATGGATTTAAAAAAAATATAGGAATGGAGTTTTCAAAGAACAAGCTAATAATAACATGATCAACCATATAGATTCAAAGGTAGAAGGTGGGTGACGATATTATTAATTGGCGTACATCGGTCGCTAGTTGTGGGCTTGGTGAAAGGTTGGTGACAATTGATATGTTTTTTCCCCTTAAACTCTTGCAGGTATGGTTTTGGTCTTCTAATGTACGGTTTTGGATCTAAGAAGACTTTGCTCGAAGATTTTGCTTCAACAGCCTTAACTGAGTATAATGTGATTGTCGTTAATGGATATCTTCAGTCAATCAATCTTAAACAGGTATGTACACAATTGAAAATGTTACTCTTATGCTTTTGTATCAACAATTGAGATGATGAAGTCATCAAAGGTTATCACGTTATCCAGTTAGAGGCACCAAATACTGACAAGATATTTCGTAATGCTTTCACATAATTAAGATCTGTATCTCTATCATCCAGTTTACTAGGATTTTGCAGTGGCTACTTTTATGACGTTAGATTTTAATTTTGGTCTGCTTGAAGATTGATTCCTTCTCTCTTTGATGCTTTCGTTTAACATCAGGCACTTCTATGTGAGCTGCATGACGTTGGTTGCAAAAGGCATATGGTGTTTTGAATCTTTTGTGCTTTAATCACCGGGAAACTTCTTCTAATGAAATGAATGCAGCAAGAAATATAGTAAAAGTAAAAGCCATATAGGGAATATAGCTGAATGACTTGGCCGCATGATGTTCCTACGGGTTTATGTCAAAATTTCCTTTTCAATCTAGCAAGGAGATTATTGCCTTCAATCCATTACCTTTTTTATTAATTGCCGAGCATCTGATTAAGTGGTCTTTGCCGTCAGCAGCTAGACATGTTAATATCTTGCTAGTTCATGTTTTCACATGCATTTAAACATTTGGAGAGGGTAGCTTCTAGGATTTCTTGATTTTCGAAAGGGTTATGTGATCTTAGATGCTTCAAAAATCATGAAATTATTCATATTACCACAGTTTGGTGATGTATCTTAGTTTTTAAGGCATTCTGCCTACACATTTAACCATTGCTTTCCAACTTCAGTTTCTTCTGCGACATGGAAGATGGTTACATGTTAAGTAAACCAACTTCTCTCAGGTTCTTTAACCTCGGGTCCACCTAAGGGCTGCCCAATAAGGTCTGTTTGCAACTTTTATACCAACTTCTCGCAGGTTCTTTAACCTTGGGTCCACATTTGTGGTGATTGGTTATCATCTTCAGAAGGGGGAGTGCTGTTAAAATTCTCAAAAAGAAAATTGGTTGAAACTTTTATACCTACGCTTGCGACTAATTGGTGGGTTTGTAAAAACATCAGCCAGAAGGATAATTATGATTTACGAATACATTTGGTGTCTTCAGTTGTTGTTCTAACTTGTTATAAATTTTAAGATCTTGATGGTTTAATTTTATGAACATCCTCTTTTTGATGTTAAATGAAACCCAAATAGAAGCGTCCCTGCATATTGGTGTGCAGTCCAATCTGGGTGAACTTCAATAATAGTTCATGCCCTTTTTTTATTTTCTTTCTTAATTACTTTTCTGCTAATGTTTGCTTTATTTTCAATACAACATTCCGCCATTTAATCTTTTCTCTTTGTCAAATTTCATTGATATGGCAAGGAATCACGTATAGAACCGGGTACCAAGTGACTTTTGGCCCAATGGGACAAAACCTGCCTCATAGAGGAACCATGAATGCGATTAGTAAAAATCTCATTAGAGATATAATTAAGTATTTTTTCAATAAAGAAAAGCACAAAAACTCTAAGCTACATGTTTAATGATAAATTGCAGGTTGCTATGGCGATGGCTGAAGTACTATGGGATCAATTGAAAATGCAACCAAGGTCTACTTCTGGAGGCTTGCTTAAAGATCAACAACCATTTAATTCGCGGTCAATGGCTGATCTTATTGCTTTTCTCGATGGGCCTCATGCAGCAGAAGATGAATGCTTAGTTTGTCTTCTTGTTCACAATATCGATGGGCCTGGGTTGCGAGATTCAGAAACTCAGCATCTTCTAGCAAGAATTGCGGCTTGTTCTCATGTTCGAATTGTTGCTTCTATAGACCATGTGAACGCACCTCTTTGTAAGTGAAATCCATCTATCAGAAATATCTCGTGCATGATATTCGTTCAAGCTTGACATTTTATTGATTTATAGGTTAGAACCCATGTTATATAGCAAGTTTTTTTAATCTAATGTGATGCATTTTTTGTTAACTGTACTTGTTGCTTTTTTGCACGGACTCTCACCTTTTCAAGCTGGGGGTCTTCACAGAAACAACCTGCCTACCTCTTGGGGTAGAGGCAAGGTCTCTGCCGTTTGGATTTAGTGGGTTAGTTTAGTTTGGTTTCTTTTCATCCCAACAAGAATCACAACATTGGAAACTGAAAATTGATAACAGTGTGGGACAAGAAAATGGTTCACGTAGAGTTCAACTGGTGTTGGCATCATGTTCCTACGTTTGCACCGTACATGATTGAAGGAGTCTTCCATCCCCTTATTCTTGCTCATGGTGGTACATCCCAAAGTGTGAAGACGGCTTCAATCGTGTTGCAGAGTTTGACACCCAATGCGCAAAGCGTCTTCAAAGTTCTTGCACAACATCAACTAGCTCATCCTGACGAAGAAGGTACACTTCAACATTTTCTTTATTACTATAATATGTTAATATACTTACATACATACACACATATATATATATACACATGATATTGGTTGTGTTTCAGGAATGGGCATTGATGCACTATTCACAAGCTGTAGGGAGCGGTTTTTAGTGAGTAGTCTTGTGACGTTGAATTCCCATTTGACGGAATTCAAAGATCACGAGTTGGTGAAGATGAGAAGACACTCGGACGGGCAGGACTGCCTCTACATTCCTCTCTCAAAAGATGCACTTGAAAAACTGCTACTAGATGTATGAATTTATTCATCAGAGTTGGGTTTGTCTTGCCATTGACTAGATAGCAAGACTTATTGTGACAATAACCAAACACATCAGATCACCTTGAAACTGTTTTATCTATAACTAGTTAAAACTTAGGGGCTGTTTGGCAGTTGCTGAATGGTTTAGTACAGAATGATTAAGAGACTCTCATGATATAGTGCAAAATTAAATATAATTGTTTGATAATTGGTTACAATGAAATTAGGGCGCTGAATGATTAAGAGAGACTCATGATACAAAATCATTCAAAGGGTTTTAGAACCATTAAGAAACAAACATTTTTTTTGCCAAACAAAATTTACCTCTTAACAATTCAGAGGTTGCCTCTTAATGGAACTATTAAAAGGTAAACAAACTATCCCTTAGCCTTAACCCTTCTTTTGATAATAAATTTGAATAGATTGGTGAAAAAAAATCATCAAGCAAAATATTTTTTATGGGCCAAATTGCTTTAAAAAAAGGTAACAATTCTATTTTGAGGAATGTACTTTTGAATGATCAGTTTAAGGGTCTATGACAAACTTTATCAACTTTAAGAGGAGATGGTTACCAATGAAAAGTGATGTGAAATAGATGACATGACTATATATTAAACCTTATGGCCTGTTAATACGATTGAAGTTTGATTCGTTCAGACATTTGAGTATTAAGAGCGTTTGTTCCTTTTTTTTTTAGTAAGAGCTTCAAAGCTCTAAATGTTCTCTGAGATTTTAAGTGTTAAACGTTTCCCTTAATACTTCTTAATGCTAATATGTCCTCTATTAAATGGTTCACATTTTAGGAGCTTGAAGAGATTTGTTAGCAAAAACTATTTATTCTTTATGCTATTGTAAAAAACTATTTATCTTTTATATTTTTGCATTATTTTGATCGATTCAGATTTCAGATTTCAAACATAAAAACAAACGGTCTTAGTGATCCAAACTTCAAATTTCAACACCACCTCTTATAAATCAGAAGTGAAATCAGACTTCAGATTTCAACACATCTTAAAAAATAAACAACATCTTTGACTTGTGGCATTTATGTTGAATTTCTCTGATATTATTATTTGAAAATATTATTTTTCTTCAATCTTCCACCATCATAATAGGATCTAACAGGGTATGGTATAGCAGTAGAGAGGTCACTTCCTTGAAGTTGGATTTAGAGAATAGGATTTTGGAGAAATTTTTGTTTCTAGAAGCAAAAAAATTAATATAGAAACCACCAAACAAATAGAGCTTTAATGAAAGCTTTATGGTAAAGTAATAAAGTTCAAAGTAGATTGAAATATCATTCTAAAAGTTATATTTGTTTGATGGAAAATCATGAAAATAATCCGAATATATCTCATCTATTAATAAAATAGTCATTTTTTACGAAATTTGCCAAAATAACCATATGGATCGTCCCAGGGGGCATGGTTTGACCATGAAAGGTGATCCTCGTGAATGTTGACCAAAAAGTACAAAAACAAAAAAAAATATAAAATTAATTTAGTGGGGCCCTACATGTATCTACGTTAGGAAACCAATCCCTATTTGCCTCAATATCCGGGATCTCCCCGCCTCACCGGATCTTCCGTGGGAGCAATCCAGGCTTATTTTGGGTTAAATCATATTTCATCTTTGAGTGCAACAAGTTTCATTATAAATACCAACCTCCTATTTTATTATTTTTCACACCTCATTTTTCATTTCTATTCTCATGTCTTCTACTATCACAATTCTTAACCCTTAAACACAATAAACCATCACAATTCTTAACCCTTGAACACAATCTACCATCACAACCCATCACCCTTAAATACAAATATGAAATCACGTCAAAGTGATGATGTTTTGGTGTATCTTCGAAGTGGTGATTCATTCCAGGAGATAAATGGTGTCTTAGAGTACCTTCCGTTAAGCTCCCCCGTATATGTTTTACGTTTGCCTTCGCCAATAACGCATTCTGGTTTGGTTAAACGTGTTATGAAAAAGTTAAGTTTACGTACTCCTTTCATTTTATTTTATAAAACGAATTGCTTACAAATATTATATTAGTTAAACGATGACGACGATGTACTAATGTTCCATAACGCCATTCATCAAAGTTTACGGAAAATGTTGACACTCTTTGTGGTCGACGATGGTGGTTATGGTGAAAATCTATCAAGTGCCATAATCCATCAAAGTTTATCCGACGGTCCAAACACTTTTTACCTCGGTGGTGTTAGCAATGGAAATCAAGCACTCTCTTCCCTGACGGTGTTGTGCAAACTCATATGTTCCAAACATTTTTTACCCCGATGGTGGCAATGGTGGAAATCCAAGCACTTTCTTCACGTACTTTTATATTGTTTTAAGGTTGTCATGGTAGATTGTGTTTACAAGTTGTGAGAGTAGAAGTGTTTTATTTTATAGAGTAAAACCATGACATTTGGTCCTAAAACAGTTTAAAAAACCAGTCTAAAAACACTCCTTAATTGTCAAATCGATTTATACACTAAAAGATGAAATAGCGGTCAAACTACGTAAATCGGATATAATATCTGATTTTTGTCCCCCAAATCAGATACAAATAATTTTTTTGTGTCCACAATTATTATAGAATATCAACATTCAGTGTGGTAAAAATATATTTCTTATAAGAAAATATAACATCATTCGTTGGTTAATTTATGTGTTTTAACAAAATGGTAAAAATTAGAAATCTTCACGTACAATCATATTATTTTAAGGGTTGTCACGGTAGATTGTGTTTACGGGTTGTGAGAATAGAAATGTTTTATTTTATAAAGTAAAACCATGACATTTGGTCCTAAAACAGTAAAAAAAATCAGTTTAAATCGTCTCCTATTTATTAAAAACACCCCTTAATCGATATACTGTAAAATACAAAATAGTGGTAAAAAAAGGTTGGATCGCCCCCGGGGGTAGATCCGGTGAGGTGGGGGGCGATCCCGGCTATCGAGGCAAATAGAGATTGATTTTCTAAAGTAGATACATGTGGGCCTCACTAAATTAATTTTATATTATTTTTTTCGTACTTTTTGGTCAACATTCATGAGGATCGCTCCCATGGTCAAACCATGCTCCCTGGGGCGATTCATATGGTTATTTTGACAAATCTCGTAAAAAATGGCTATTTCATTAATACATGAGGTATATTTTGGTCATTTTCGTGATTTTCCCTTGTTTGACTTGTATAACGTTTGACTTTTCATCAGGTAAAATGCATTAAAATGCAAAAAATTTCGGTTTAGTTCCTATTTATTGTAATGAATATTTTTTTTATTCAATCGACGTAACAAAGTTTCAAGATTTCTGATTGTGCTCGTTTTGACCTGTAACCAACTTATCTTGTAACATTTAGGACACAGATACTCGATTACTCATGTAGGAAAGGATTACAGCAAAGTGGATGATAAACTTGACATTTATGTTGTTACCAGATAGTAGGATGCAGGTCTAAATGGATAAAACATAAATTTTGAAACTCTGAGAAAAAGAGTTTAACGCATTTTGGCCGTTCGGTAATTATCCCCTTTCACAAAGGGATCCATACAGAGTCCTTCTACTGGTTATTATAGAAATCGACTCCGCGTGAATCGAGTATGACTCCAATGTTTATTCTTCTTCTTCTTCTTTACTTGGTATATATCACTTTCTTGATACGATTAACCAAGCCATGGTTACAGGCTTGACCATTTCTATTGTTCTTCTTGATTACGTTAATCTGAAAACTTGTTTCATCTTCTATGGTGAAATGATGAATATCGACTCGTTAGAGATGGACCGTTTCTTTCTAGACACATGTTTGGTTCTACTCCTGTGGATTTCACAAGAACCGTTATAAATTATCCGTCCTCCCACAACGATCTTTTTTACAAATAAAAATGATTTTTATAACAATTTTGATCAATGAAAATTAAAAATACATATATAAAACATATTTAACAAAATCAAATTCATTACAAAAAATTTAAAAATACATAATATTGGCTACTTAATGTATTTTTATCAATTCAAGAAATTCTTT